CTCTTGTCTAGTGTAGCAAGTGATCATTATTCGTGACCTCTACCTAGTCTAGTGTAACAAATGATCATTATTCGTGACCTCTATAAGCTGAAGTGTAGCAAGTGATCATTATTTGTGACCTCTCTTGTCTAGTGTAGCAAGTGATCATTATTTGTGACCTCTACCTAGTCTAGTGTAGCAAGTGATCATTATTTGTGACCTTTACCTAGTCTAGTGTAGCAAGTGATCATTATTCGTGACCTCTACCTAGTCTAGTGTAGCAAGTGATCATTATTCGTGACCTCTCTTGTCTAGTGTAGCAAGTGATCGTTATTTGTGACCTCTACATAGTCTAGTGTAGCAAATGATCATTATCCGTTATCTCTACCTAGTTTAGTGTAGCAAATGATCATTATTCGTGACCACGATCTGGTCTAGTGTAGCAGCAATCATTATTTGTGACTCTCTGTTGTCTATTGTAGCAAGTGATCGTTATCCGTGACCTATATCTGGTTTAGTGTAGCAAGTCATTATTATTTGTGACCTCTATCTAGTCTAGTGTAGCAAGTGATTGTTATCCTTGACCTCTATCTGGTCTAGTGTAGCAAATGATTGTTATCCGTGGCCTCTATCTGGTCTAGTGTAGCAAGTCATTATTATTTGTGACCTCTATCTAGTCTAGTGTAGCAAGTGATTGTTATTTGTGACCTCTACCTAGTCTAGTGTAGCAAATGATCATTATCCGTTATCTCTACCTAGTTTAGTGTAGCGAATGATCATTATTCGTGACCACGATCTGGTCTAGTGTAGCAGCAATCATTATTTGTGACCTCTCTGTTGTCTATTGTAGCAAGTGATTGTTATCCGTGACCATCGTCTGGTCTAGTGTAGCAAGTCATTATTATCCCTGACCTCTATCTAGTCTAGTGTAGCAAGTGATTGTTATCCTTGACCTCTATCTGGTCTAGTGTAGCAAGTGATTGTTATCCGTGGCCTCTATCTGGTCTAGTGTAGCAAGTCATTATTATTTGTGACCTCTATCTAGTCTAGTGTAGCAAGTGATTGTTATCCGTGACCATCGTCTGGTCTAGTGTAGCAAGTCATTATTATTTGTGACCTCTATCTATTCTAGTGTAGCAAGTGATTGTTATCCGTGACCTCTATCTGGTCTAGTGTAGCAAGTGATTGTTATCCGTGACCTCTATCTGGTCTAGTGTAGCAAGTGATTGTTATCCGTGACCTCTGTCTGGTCTAGTGTAGCAAGTGATCATTATTCGTGACCTCGCTCTGATCTAGTGTAACAAGAAGTGATCATTGTTTGTGACCTCGCTCTGATCTTGTGTAGCAAGTGATCATTATTTGTGACCTCGCTCTGATGTAGTGTAGCAAGTGATCATTATTTGTGACCTCGCTCTGATCTAGTGTAACAAGTGATCATTATTTGTGACCTCTATCGGGTCTAGTGTAACAAAAGAAGGACGAAAGATACCAGAGGGACAGTCAAACTCATAGATCGAAAACAAACTGACAACGTCATGGCCAAAAATAAAAAGACAAACAGACAAATAATAGTACAGATGACACAACATAGAAAACTAAAGACTAAGCAACACGAACCCCACCAAAAACTGGGGGTGATCTCAGGTGCTCTGGAAGGGTAAGCAGATCCTGCTCCACATGTGGCACCCGTCGTGTTGCTTATGTTATTACAAATCCGGTAAATAGTCTAATTCGGTAAGTCACATCCGTGAAAAGGGAAGGGTATTGTAGTTACGACATAAGGAACATATCCGATATCATCTGTGAAACGGTTATTCCATAACGGTCAACCAACTCGTGATGGCGTCCGTAAAATTTACGAAGGGATGACTTCAACTTCACCATTTGGAACTCTTGGTTTAATAGCTTCCAAGTGATCATTATGTGTGACCTCGCTCTGATCTAGTGTAACAAGTGATCATTATTTGTGACCTCTATCGGGTCTAGTGTAACAAGTGATCATTATTTGTGACCTCGCTCTGATCTAGTGTAGCAAGTGATCATTATTTGTGACCTCGCTCTGATCTAGTGTAGCAAATGATCATTATTTGTGACCTCTATCTGGTCTAGTGTAACAAGTGATCATTATTTTTGACCTCGCTCTGATCTAGTGTAGCAAGCGATCATTATTTGTGACCTCGCTCTGTTCTAGTGTAGAAAGTGTTCATTATTTGTGACCTCTCTCTGGTCTAGTATAACAAGTGATCATTATTTGTGACCTCTCTTGTCTAGTGTAGCAAATGAACCTTATTCGTGACCTCTCTTGTCTAGTGTAGCAAGTGATCATTATTCGTGACCTCTCTTGTCTAGTGTAGCAAGTGATCATTATTCGTGACCTCTATCTGGTCTAATGTAGCAAGTTATCATTATTTGTGACCTCTCTTGTCTAGTGTAGCAAATGATCATTATTAGTGACCTCTCTTGTCTAGTGTAGCAAGTGATCATTATTCGTGACCTCTACCTAGTCTAGTGTAGCAATTGATAATTATTCCTGACCTCTATAAGCTGTAGTGTAGCAAGTGATCATTATTCGTGACCTCTCTTGTCTAGTGTAGCAAGTGATCATTATTCGTGACCTCTACCTAGTCTAGTGTAACAAATGATCATTATTCGTGACCTCTATAAGCTGAAGTGTAGCAAGTGATCATTATTTGTGACCTCTCTTGTCTAGTGTAGCAAGTGATCATTATTTGTGACCTCTACCTAGTCTAGTGTAGCAAGTGATCATTATTTGTGACCTTTACCTAGTCTAGTGTAGCAAGTGATCATTATTCGTGACCTCTACCTAGTGTAGTGTAGCAAGTGATCATTATTCGTGACCTCTCTTGTCTAGTGTAGCAAGTGATCGTTCTTTGTGACCTCTACCTAGTCTAGTGTAGCAAATGATCATTATCCGTTATCTCTTCCTAGTTTACTGTAGCAAATGATCATTATTCGTGACCACGATCTGGTCTAGTGTAGCAGCAATCATTATTTGTGACCACTTTGTTGTCTATTGTAGCAAGTGATCGTTATCCGTGACCTATATCTGGTCTAGTGTAGCAAGTCATTATTATTTGTGACCTCTATCTAGTCTAGTGTAGCAAGTGATTGTTATCCGTGACCATCGTCTGGTCTAGTGTAGCAAGTCATTATTATTTGTGACCTCTATCTAGTCTAGTGTAGCAAGTGATTGTTATCCGTGACCATCGTCTGGTCTAGTGTAGCAAGTCATTTTTATTTGTGACCTCTATCTAGTATAGTGTAGCAAGTCATTATTATTAGTGACTTCTCTCTGGTCTAGTGTAACAAGTGATTGTTATTCGTGACCTCTACCTAGTCTAGTGTAGCAAATGATTATTATTCGTGACCTCTCTTGTCTAATGTAGCAAGCGATCATTATGTGTGACCTCTCTCTTGTCTAGTGTAGCAAATGATCATTATTCCTGAACTCTATAAGCTGTAGTGTAGCAAATGATCATTATTTGTGACCTCTCTTGTCTAGTGTAGCAAGTGATCGTTATTCGTGACCTCTATCTGGTCTAGTATAGCAAGTGATCATTATTCGTGACCTCTATCTAGTATAGTGTCGCAAATGATCATTATTCGAGACCTCTATAAGCTGTAGTGTAGCAAGTGATCATTATTTGTGACCTCTCTTGTCTAGTGTAGCAAGTGATCGTTATTCGTGACCTCTATATGGTCTAGTGTAGCAAGTGATCATTATTCGTGACCTCTACCTAGTGTAGTGTAGCAAATGATCATTTGTCGTGACCTCTACCTAGTCTAGTGTAGCAAATGATCATTATTCTCGACATTTATAAGCTGTAGTGTAGCAGTGATCATTATTCGTGACCTCTATCTGGTCTAATGTAGCAAGTCATTATTATTGTTGACCTCTATCTGTTTTAGTGTAAGAAGTGATCATTAGTTAAATTTCAACAGATTGTGGTAGTGAAATCTGTGGAGATACTGTATATATGAACTGTTAGGCTATCTTTTGTCACATAAGAACCGCTTTCTTATATACCTCATTGCACATCCTTTCATTCACTTTACCCTTTTGTTGTTGCACTAATCAAATGTTTTAGAGATGATTGAGATCTAAACAAATTAATTGTATGATACCATATGTCCATGTGGCTTTCCCATGTCAGACACCTGGTCAATGCATGGTTGTCATAAGTGTTATCTTTATGAGCGTTTTTCTACCATTTCGCAAATTCTTTATAAATATAAAATAAAATGTAGTATGATTGGTATGAATGCCAATGAGACAACTATCCATAAGGGATCAAAATCACATAGATATATAAGCAGTTATAGGTCTCCTTACGGACTTTAACCATAAGCAAACTGTGAGCTATAAAAGGGTCCGACATGACAAAATGTAAAACACTTCAAACCAGAAAACGAACGGCCTTATTTGTGTCTATGTCTATGAACTTTGTTTTACAGTTAAGTATTTAAGGAACTACAATGCAATGTTGATAGACAATCAGTTTTTTTCAAGCCGCCCGATATATATGTTTGTTGACAAAAAAATTAAAAACTCAAGGTTTTGTTAGGGAATCATTTGTTTAAGAGAAATTAAAGAATATAAAAAAGAAGATGTGGTATGATTGCCAATGAGACCAACTCTCCACAAGAGACCAAATCACACAGACATTAACAACTATAGGTCACCGTACGGCCTTCAACAATGAGCAAAGCCCATACCGCATAGTCAGCTATAAAAGGCCCCGAAATGACAAATGGTAAACAATTCAAACGAGAAAACTAACGGCCTAATTTATGTACAAAAAATGAACGAAAAAACAAATATGTTACACATCAACAAACGACAACCTCTGAAATACAGGCTCCTGACTTAGGACAGGCACATACATACAGAATGTGGCGGGGTTCATTTTTCATAATTCATTCAACATTTTTGAGAAAATATTGGAGCAGTCATTTTTCATTTTCTTTTGATAAATGATACTCTAGTCAAAGCAAATATTTCTAGTCATTTTAATATCTTTTTTTTATTCTAAGAATATAGACAATTTTTCATCATCACTATTATAGATTCAAACTCCCAGAAAGGGACATGTAAAATCCTACTTTTATTATTGTAACATTTAACCATAAGTTACACGGTTGTTCGTTAAACCATGAAAACGTTCCTTTTATGTCATTATTTTGCCTCAAAATTGTCATCAATAAAAAAATGACTTCTTTAATAGTTTGATCTTGTGTATGTCATTCAACCAGCGTGACATCATAGGTACACTCCGTTCTTTTCATTATCCATAGTGGCTGATTAGCACAATTTTTCAGGACCAAAACACACGAACTTTAAACAGGTATTCTCACATAATTCAGCCAATAAGTGGTCGCAAATTGGTCTGTTTGGTAGTTAAGAGGATACTTAAAAATGTTATGACAAAAGACATCACGTTAGGACAACAGCTTAAATGGACCTGTGGGTTCAGGTAACTAAAAAAAAGGTTACGCTCCGATGAACTCTCCTGTGAAATAGATATGTATATCTTACAATTCTTCTTTACAAACTTATACATTGTTCACCTATAAATTATACATGTCATAGTATCTATTTACATGAAAACTGAACAAGGTTTGGTTGAACTGATTGGCATAACTTTCTTATCAAAATAATATCATCCAATATTCAAACAAAATCAACAAGAACAAGGAAATAAGTAGATATTAATGCATTATTATGACATTTACATATAAGTATTTTGATAATGATTTATCTTTTTGTACTGTTCCCGGTTGAAAAGTTGAATGGTCTTTAAATTATATTACTGTACAGGATTATATCCACATTGTCTATCATACTTAGTATACCATATAGATGTTAATTTCTCTTCTAGCAGTGGGACGGTTCTTTGTATTATATCAAAACACTGTTTAGCATAACAGTTTGATTGATTTGTCTTGTTTGCCTATGTTCGACTGTATATAATTGTATATTTATTCTGTGTCTGTAATATCTGCACTATGTTGGTATAATTTTCTATTTTAGCAATATCTAGCGGTGACAACCCTATACATTTAAGGTTGCAATCTGCCTCCTTTGTTAATAACAACTCTACAATCTTGATATGTCCTCTCTGACAGGCAATGAATAGAGGTGATGCTCCAGTATTTGTACACTTATTAATGTCTGCCTTATTGTTTATTAACATCTGAACTACTTCAGTATGTCCTTCATGACAAGCATCGAACAATGGTGACATATCTTTATCATTACACTTATTAGTGTCTGCCTTACTGTTTATTAACAGATGAACTACTTCGATATGTCCTTGGTGACAGGCAATATACAGTGGTGATTCTCCAGTATCTATACACTTATTAGTGTCTGCCTTATTGTTTATTAACAGATGAACTACTTTACAATGTCCTTCCTGACAAGCAACGTACAAAGGTGATACTTTTTTATCATTACACGTATTAATGTTTGCCTTATTGTTTATTAACACCTGAACTGTGTCAGTGTGTCCTTCGTGACAAGCAACGAACAGAGGTAACTTTCCAGTATCTACACACTTATTAATGTCAGCCTTATTGTTTATCAACATCTGAACTACTTTAGTATATCCTTTCTGACAAGCAATGTATAGAGGTGATTCTCCGGTATATTTATACTTATTAATGTCTGCTCTATTATTTAGTAACATCCGAACTACTTCGGTATGTCCTTGGTGACAGGCAATGAACAGTGGTGATTCTCCTGTATCTATACACTTATTTATGTCTGACTTATTGTTTATTAACATCTGTATTTCATCAGTATATCCTTTCCAACAAGCCATAAATAGAGGGGATGCTCCACTATCTATACACTTATCAATGTCTGCCTTATTGTTTAATAGAATAGGAACTACTTCAGTATGGCCTGTGGTTAAAGCAATGTATGGAGGTGATATTCCAGTATTATTACACTTATTAATGTCTGCCTTACTGTTAATTAACATCTGAACTACTTCGGTATGTCCTTGGTGACATGCGACGAATAGAGGTGATTCTCCGGTATTTATACACTTATCAATATCTGCCTTATTATTTATTAACATCTGAACTATTTCAGTATGCCCCTTCTCACAAGCATCGTACAGAAGTGTATTTCCAGTGTTTGTACACTTATTAAGGTCTGCTTCATTCTTAATTAACATCTGAACTATCTCAGTATGTCTTTGATGACAAGCAATGTACAGAGGGTATTCGCCAGTTATCATACTTTTATTAATGTCTGCCTTATTATTCAATAACATTTGAACAACTTCAGTATATCCTTGGTGACAAGCAATGAAGAGAGCTGATTCCCCATCATTTCTACACTTATTAATGTCTGCCTTATTCATTATTAAGATATGAACAACTTCAGTCTGTCCTTCCTGGCATGCAATAAACAGAGGTGAGGCTCCAATATATGTACACATATTAATGTCTGCTTTATTGTTTATTAACATCTGAACTATTTCAGTATGTCCTTTTCCACAAGCAATAAACAAAGGTGATTTTCCAGCAGATGTACACATATGAATGTCTGCCTTATTGTTTATTAATATTTGAACTACTTTAGTATGTCCTATCTGACAAGCAATGAACAGAGGTGATTCTCCACTATCAATACACTTATTAATGTCTGCCTTATGGTTTATTAACATCCGAACTACTTCAGTATGTCCTTTCCCACATGCAATGAACAGAGGTGATTCTCCACTATCAATACACTTATTAACGTCTGCCTTATGGTTTATTAACATCTGAACTACTTCTGGTTGTCCTTTCACACAAGCAATGAACAGATGTGATTCGCCGGCATCTGTACACTTATGAATGTCTACCTCATTGTTTATTAACATCTGAACTATTTCAGTATGTCCTTCCTGACAAGCAAAGCTCATAGATGATGCTCCAGTGACTACACACTTATTAATGTCTGCCTTATTGTTTATTAACATCTGAACTATTTCAGTATGGCCTTTCTGACAAGCAAAGCACAGAGGTGATTCTCCAGTATATGTACACTTATTAATGTCTGCCTTATTGATTATTAACATCTGAACTATTTCAGTATAGCCTTCCTGACAAGCAAAGCACAGAGGTGATGCTCCAGTAACTGTACAGATATTATTGTCTGCATTATTGTTTATTAACATCCGAACTACTTCAGTATATCCTTTCCCACAAGCAATTAACAAAGGTGATACTCCAGTATTAGTACACTTATTTATTTCTGCCTTATTGTTTATTAATATTTGAACTACTTTAGTATGTCCTTCCTGACAGGCAATGAACAGAGGCGATACTCCAGCATCTGTACACTTATTAACGTCTGCCGTATTGTTTATTAACAGTTGAACTATTTCACTATGTCCTTTATCGCAAGCAACGGCCAGAGGCGAGAACCCACTAACTCTACACTTATTGATGTCTGCCTTATTGTTTATTAACATCTGAACTACGTCAGTATGTCCTTCCTGACAAGCAATAAAAAGAGGTGATTCTCCAGTATATGTACACTTATTAATGTCTGCCTTATTGCTTATTAACATCTGAACTATTTCAGTACGTCCCATTCCGCAAGAAACGAACAGAGGTGCGGACCCAGTAACTCTACACTTATTAATTTCTGCCTTATTGTTTATCAGAATTTGAACTACTTCCGTATGTCCTTTCCCGCAAGCAACAAACAGTGGTGATTCTCCAGTTTCTATACACTTGTTAATATCAGCATTATTATTTATTAATATCTGAACTACTTCAGCATGTCCTTCCTGACAAGCAATGTACAGAGGTGATACATCTTTATCTTTACACTTTTCAGTGTCTGTCTGATTGTTTATTAACATCTGAAGTATTGCATTTTGCCCTTTTCCAGAAGCAAGTAATTGAGATAACTCTCCAGTATTTGTACACATATTAATTTCTGCCTTATTGTTTATTAACATCTGAACTACTTCCGTATGTCCTTTCTGACAAGCAATGAACAGAGGTGATTGTCCAGTATCTGTACACTTTTTTATGTCTGCCTTATTGTTAATTAACATCTTAACTATTTCAGTATGTCCTTTCTCTAAAGCAACAAACAAAGGCGATCCGCCAATATCTCTACACTGATTAATGTCTGCCTTATTGTTTATTAACGTTTGAACTACTTCAGCATTTCCTTCCTGACAAGCAATGAACAGAGGAGATGCTCCGATGTTTGTACACTTATTAATGTCTGCCTTACATTTTATTAAAATTTGGACTACATCAGTATGTCCATACCCACAAGCAATGAACAGAGGTGATTCTCCAGTATCTATGCACTTATTAATGTCTGCCTTATTGTTTATTAACATCTTAACTAATTCAGAGTGACCTTCCTGACAAGCAATGAACAGAGGTGATTCTTCAGAACAAGTCCACTTATTAATATCGACCATATTGCTTATTAATATCTGAACTACTTCGGTATGTCCTTTCAAAGAAGCAATGCACAGAGGGGATGCTCCAGTATCTTTGCACTTATCAATGTCTGCCATATTGTTCATTAACATCTGAACTATTTCAGCATGTCCTTCATGACAAGCAATATACAGAGGTGATAATTCTTTATCTTTACACGCATTTATGTCTGGCTCATTATTTATTAACATTTTAACTACTTCAGTATGTCCATTCCTACAAGCTACGTGCAGCGGTGATTCTCCTGTATCTCTATACTTATTAGTGTCTGCCTTATTGTTAATTAGCATCTGTACTACTTCGGTGTGTCCTTCCTGACAAGCAATGTACATGGGTGAACATCCAATATTTGTACACTTATTAATGTCTGCCTTATTGTTTATCAAAATCTGAACTAATTTATTATTCCCTTTTCCACAAGCAAGGAACAAATTTGATTCACCAGTTTCAAGACACTTATTAACGTCTGCCTTATTGTTTATTAACATCTGAACTATTTCATTATGTCCTTTGTCACACGCAATTTGCAGAGGGGATTCGCCAGTTTCTATGCACTTATTTATGTCTGCCTTATTGTCTATTAATATCTGCACTATTTCAGTGTGTCCTTCCTGACAAGCAATGAGCAGAGGTGAACCTCCATCGTCTGTACACTTGTTTATGTCTGCCTTATTGTTTATTAACACCTGAACTACTTCAGTATATCCTTTACTACAAGCAAGGAACAGATGGGATTCTCCAGTACCTAAACACTTATTCATGTCAGCTTTGTTGTTCAGTAACATCTGAACTACTTTAGTATGTCCTTTCCCACAAGCAATGTCCAGAGGTGAATATCCATTATCTCTACACTTATTAATGTCTGCACCATCTTTTATTAACATTTGAACAACTTCAGCAGATCCTTCTTGGCAGGCAATGAACAGAGGTGATGCTTCATTTTTATTACAATTATTAATGTCTGCCTTATTGTTTATAAAAAGCTGAACTAATTCAGTATGTCCTTTCATACAAGCTATGAACAGAGGTGATTCTCCAGTATGTCTACACTTAATAATGTCTGCCGTATCATTAATCAACATCTGAACTACGTCAGTATGTCCTTCCTGACAAGCAATGTAAAGAGGTGATTCTCCAGTATCTGTACACATATTAATGTCTGATTCATTGTTGATTAACATCTGAACTACTTCAATGTGTCCATTCTTACAAGCCATGAACAGGGTTGATTCTCCAGTATCTGTACACTTATTTATGTCTGCCTTATTGGTAATTAACATCTGACCTACTTCAGTATGTCCTTCCCCACAAGCACTGCTTAGAGGTGATACTCCAGTATTTGTACATTTATTAATGTCTGCTTTATCAATTAAAATCTGAACTACTTCGATATTTCCTTTATGGCAAGCAATGAACAGAGGTGATTCTCCAGTAAATGTACATTTATTAATGTCTGCCTTATTGGTGATTAACACATGAACTACTGCAGTATGTCCGTTCCCACAAGCAATGTACAGAGGTGATACCTCTTTATCATTACACTTATCAACGTCTGCCTTGTTATTTATTAAAATCTGAACTACTTCAGTATATCCTTTAAAACAAGCTATACACAGTGGTGTTTCTCCAGTATCTGTACATTTATTAATGTCTGCATTATTGCTTATTAACATCTGTACTACTTTAGAATGTCCATTCCAACACGCAAACACAAGAGGGGATTCTTCTGTATCATTACATTTATTGATGTCTGCCTTATTGTTTGATAATATTTGAACAACTTCAGTATGTCCATTTCCACAAGCAATTGCCAGACATGATTTTCCAGTATTTGTAGGCTTATTTGTGTCTGTTTTATTGCTTATTAACAGCTGAACAACCTCGGCATGTCCTTCCTGACAAGCAATGGCCAGAGGAGATACTCCAATATATGAACAGTTATTAATGTCTGCCTTATTGTTCATTAACATTTGAACTACGTCAGTTTGTCCTATCCAACAAGCAAATAACAGAGGCGATACGCCATCATCTGTACACTTATCAATGTCTGCCTTATTGTTTAGTAATATCTTAACTACTTCAGTATGTCCATTCTCACAAGCTATACATAAAGGTGATTTTCCAGTATCTGAACACTTATCAATGTCTACCTTATTGTTTATCAATATCTGAACTATTTCAGTGTCTCCTTTCCAACAAGCAATGTACAGAGGTGATTTTCCAGAATCGTTACACCTTTCGATGTCTACCTTATTGTTTATTAACATCTGAACGACTTCAGTATGTCCGTTTATACAAGCAATTAATAGAGGTGATACTTCTTCATCACTACACTTATCAATGTCTGCCTTATTGTATAGTAACAACTCAACTAATTTAGCATGGCCTTTCTGACAAGCAAGGAACAGAGGTGATGCTCCAATATATGTACACCTATTAATCTCTGCATTATTGCTTATTAACAATTGAACTACTTCAGTATTCCCTGACTGACAAGCAATGATTAGAGGTGATGCTCCAATATTTGTACACTTATTAATGTCTGCTTTATTGTTTATCAACATCTGAACTATTTCAGTTTCTCCTTTCCAACAAGCAACATACAGAGGTGATTCTCCAATATCTTTACACTTATTAATGTCTGCCTTATTATTTATTAACATCTGAACTACCTCAGTATGTCCTTCCTGACAAGCAATGAACAGAGGGGATAAGTCTATAAATTCATTAACGTTACCTTTATTGATGTCCACCTTATTGTTTATTAACATCTGAACAATTTCAGTATGTCCCTGTTTACAAGCAAAGAACATAGGTGATGGTATAGTACCTCTAAACTTAGAAATGTCTGCCTTATTATTCGTTAACATCCGAAGTAGTTCAGTATGTCCATATGAACAAGCAATGTACAGATATATACTATCTATTTGTGTCTGTTGTGATACTTCTAAACTTTGAATATGTACGAGGAATCTTTGCCTGAAGATTTGATTCGACATATTAATGTTATAGTAGACATCTTCTAGGTTTTCTCTTGACCAATCATCAACCATTCTCTTTAAATAAATTTCCTGGTATCTTTTTGGTAGAATAGTTATAAAGTTATCACAGTTGCAATGCTTTTCAAATAGAAACCTTTCACGAATAAAACGACTTGAAGCATTATTAATTAAGCATTGAATCATCACATTGCCAAAGTAAAACGCAAGAAAATCAAACAGTTTGTCATGAATAGTTCTGTACACTGTACCTTCCTTTCTGATAAATGTATCAGTAAGTGAATCCAGCTCATCACGAACAACCAATCGTGAAGTCCCTTTCACCACCTTACAAGCTTCATATGTGCTCTTTATAATAGTTTTGATATCTTTATCAACATCTTCTGTAAGCCATTCTTCTTTGACATGATTGTTAAACATGACACATAGAGCCAGTGCACAGTATTTAACATGTGCTCCCTCTGTCTGTAGTTGATCTATCTCTTCTCTGAAAACTGCAAATGGATTCTTAAAGAAATTGATAATATTTCGTTTGGTATTTTTGCTGTATAATTGACACAAAAGCGGAAAACAGTCAAAAAGGTCATGAAATTCACTGACCTTATAAGCATTTGTTTTCAAATAAAGTTCAGCAATAGATTGTTTTTCTGTTTTTGATAAACATAAATCTTCAGACAAAAGATTGCATTCATATAATCGAAAAAATGATAAAGATTTAACTTTTTCATCGTTATAAACCTGTAGTCTACAAGACATGATTAACTTTACAGGTTTCATTTCTATTAGTGTTTTGATTTTTTCCATCAGATTTGTCCATTTATCGAAATGCATTTGATTTATAGCATATGTTCCACAAAAATTATCGACAACATACAAGGTCTTCTTGCTTGGATTGTACCACTTGATAATTTCTTCAGGGTTTGAAACTGGTATTATATTATAGCCTTCTTTTTGCATTTTTAAAGCTACATGACGCACTAAATATGATTTGCCTGTACCGGAACTTCCGGTGACAACAATGCAACCATGTTTTTTAATACACCTTAATACACTTTTTGCTCCGTTTGTTTTAATAAACATGTTGTCGTCTACTTTCCAAGCTTCTAACTCATCTTTTATTTGTTCTAAAAGGAAAAAAATATTATTCTTAGAATATAACAGTCGTTTCGAGACTTGTTAGGGCAATGAATAAAAGAAGATGTGGGGAAACAACAATAAGAAACAAGGAAAAGCGATTAGACGTTGAGTCAGTCTTCGACAATTGACCGGTGCCCGTACAATATCACGAGCTCTAAATCGTCCCAAGTCTATAAAAGTTGTAAATAAATTTATCAGAAGCAATTAAAGATTTGCAATTATCACCTTATTATCCAATAAGGACAACCATTAAGTTATAATATACGACAACTACTAGATACCTTGCCATACTGACATGGATACCTTATAAAATGTCCATACTTTTGGTCTTGAGTGTACTTGATAAATGTTATTCCAGAAGAAAACATATGATATGATGTACATGTGCACAATATGCTTTGTTTTTGCATTATTGTATAAACTTCATTTGGGAAATCAAGACTAAAAAATTGGATGCTCCGAAAATATCACTTTTGAGGAAAAGCTGAGCAAAGATACCTAATTAAAAAACTGACGATGTCTGGAAGGACCCCTACTGCATATTTTTGTGAGAGACAAAGAAACAAATAATTAATTCTGATAATAACAAAGCAAAAACAAACTATAACAAAAATACTAAACTCTAAGGCAAATTCAAAAAGGGAAGTCAATAAAAACTCTATCAATCAACGCAAAAATGCAAAACAACTGCCGTATTGATTCAAAGGATTCCATTATTCGTGTTTTTTCCCACCAAGGTGGGTTAATAGCAAGTTTGATTAAAATCCAAGCTGACAATATCTTTTCTGTTTTTTATAACCTATTGTTTATAATAGTATTATAGTTATAATTCCCGGGGTACTAAATACAGCATATAATAATTGTAATAAGGTCGATACAACTCCAATACGACATTTTTACAAAACTACATGTACTTGTAGTATAGTGCATTTAATAATATTGCACTAATAAATTTGAAAAACATTTACATACATGTAATAAGTATTGATAATGTTATATGACATCACTAGAACAATTTGAAGAACTGAAACCCAGTATTATGGGTAATGCTAATAAAATTTAAGATTTTTTTCTACACAGCTAGCTAAAGCTAGACATAATCTGACCAGTATGATAAATAAGGTAAACAATCATGTTAATGTCCTTTATGTTAAGTTTGAACCCTCACAAAAAGAAATAGATGCATGGATTTGAAGTCTTAATATCTAGAAAACGATAAGCATGAAAAACAAAAAAAATACAGTTACAGCTGCATATTGATGACCTTAAAGAAAGGCAATTTTGCTAAAAACAAATCACGACAGGAGTATGATATACTGATTTATGGCATAGACGACAGCAACCAAAATGACAACGTCTTTGGAACAACACGACAGCTATTCAGTTGAGACTTGATAACTGACGCTCGAATAGACAATGCCATACCAATTGCAAATGCGCATAGTCTTCCAACACACGGAAAAGGTCCAAAGCCTATCATAGTTCGTTATCGTCATTCCGGGGATAAACAATTTATAATGTCCAAATCTTATAATTTGAAAGTGATAAAAATACGTTTGCTTGAAGACCTGCCTGTTTTAATGAAGGAGGAGAGATTCTTGCTCTCTCAAAATGCACAAAAACATCAATTCGAGCAAAAAGGGCACATGTGACCTTAGAGACCGGTAACAATAACAATTAAAAATGATCTTTATGGAATTAACTGTTTACTATCTGTTACATGTATACACTAAGAAAAAAAAATGGTTTACAAATACAAATGTAATACTTACTTCTGAGTATGCAATTTAAGTATGGGTCTGCAGTGTCTTACATGTATTTATTGGTTTTTTTAAATAATGTAAAAAATAATAAATACACCCTTTTCAAAACATAGTGCTGTACTTTAGCGTAATGCCCTCAAATACCAAATTGTTTTCATAAAGTTTATCTTCTTTTATATGCATTACTCATAGTTAAGTTTAAAACAACTATGATTTTTGTTGGTGAAAAGTTTTTTTTTCATTTTATTTTAATTTTGTATGAGAATATATTGTATTTTATGACAAATATCGTTTCTTTTTTGTCTACACATATAGCTCTCTGTTATAAGGGCCTGTCCTATTTTGACGATTTCAAGATTATGTTTGGCGGGTTGTCGTCAGCAAAAATATGGGGTGGTATTTCCTTCTTCGAAATTGTGGAAAAGGTATTGTGCCAAAAATAATCTGCATTGCATTGCTTTGCACTTGTTAGATTCTGTACCAAATATAATTGAAATAAGAATATGTGCAATAGGACACCATGCATGGCCTACTTGCGCTATCTTATATCAACGTTTAGTCAACTGTGAAATCAGGGTTAACCTTGTACTTTGGAATACACTGAACATGATACCACAATGTTGTTTATAGGTTAGACAATACTTGGTCATGTTTAATGAATATTTAAATCACGAGGCAAAGCCAAGGTTTTTAAATGATTATAAAACATGACCAAGTATTGTCTGACCAATTTAGAACATATTCACACCTTAAAGTGACGATACCCTCGGGGAATAAAACATAGCTATGTTTTATTCCCCGAGGGTATCACCAGCCCAGTAGTCAGCACTTCTGTGTTGACACGATTTATCATTGATATGGTCATAATTATAAATTAACTGTACAAATCTTTGAATTTTTGAAATACTAAGACTTTTCTACCTCAGGAATAGATTACCTAGCTGTATTTGGCAAAACTGTTAAGAATTTTTGGTCCTCAATGCTCTTCAACTTCGTACTTTATTTGGCCTTTTTAACTTTTTTTGTTTTGAGCGTCACTGATGAGTCTTGTGTAGACGAAACGCGCGTCTGGCGCAAATACAAAATTTCAATCCTTGTATATATGATGAGTTTATTTACTCTATAAGAAGTAAACGTGAACTTTTTTTAAAAAGAAAATCCTTTAAATTATTTAAATCTTCATAAATGTCTCGAGATTGAATTATTGACTTCCCAGACACTAATTCGGCGATATTTTTTCCGTATCCCGTGACCTTAACAACAATACCTCTCGTTATTACTTCGGCCACCGCACAGCGCAAGTGCGAGGGGAAAACCGTGATGAAGGAATGTAAACACACCTGCTGTTGGAGGTGAATAGAAATAACAGATTCTTAAAGAACACATTTAATACAACAAATCATTTAACATATGTTAAGGAATAGTTTAATTAACAAATGGGAACACATTGAAAAGATAAAAACAAATGTCATGGCTCTTTCAATTCACTTATCTGTCACGCTTTCCACGTGCTCTGTTTTTATTATTTACCAATGTCACGATCCGGTAAACTTTGGCAACAAACTTGAAAGTTAATAAGCTTGCGATCAACAACCACTGAATGAAATGTTATTTGTCGATAATACGTTATAGATTGTAATAAATATAAAAAAAAGTGCATGAAAGACTTAGGGTGGGGGAGGACTAATGGACAAACACACCGACAAGAAAAGACAAAGACCCCCTACTACATGTACTTCTGTAGGGATCCATACAAATCTCGATTGAAGTTGTCAGAATGTTTTTCTTACTAATTTTATATCTAATTAAACAGATTTTGAAAAAAAGCGGAAACTCACAATTTTTACTTTTCTACAAAACAATCTTTAAAATCCTCCAGACAACAGTAAAATCAATTTATTTTAAAGTGATAAAATACATCTGAATTAAAGTTGGCCAATTACATCTTATTGCTTTTCAACATCTGATCGATGGTCTAATAACAACTTACTATGCAGTATTGTAAAGTGTACACTCTTAATTCGTGAAGAAAAAGCTTTCACAATCCTCTTGCCTGGTTTTGTTTTAGGAGAAACTATAAGCACAAGCAATAAAAGCAAACTACAAGCAATATGAGATACATTTTGAAACAAGTTAAAAGAGCGTATTAAAAAAGTTCTACTTGACTGAGTATATATAAGTTACCTTTGATGTTCCATGGTATGGGGTCTTTTAAAAGTTCTGTAATTTCTGAGTGTTTAGTCAGTAAAGTTTTGTGAGAATCTTGTAAGTTCCTTAGATTTTCTGTCATTTCTGAGTGTTCAGTCCGTAAAGTACTGTGAAAATCGTGTAACCTGCTAAAATCTACTGTAATTTCTAAATGTTCAGCCTGTAAAGTACTGTGAAAATCTTGTAACCTTCTCAGATTTTCTGTCACTTCAGAGTGTTCTGTCCTCAAACTGTCCACTGCTTGTCTAAGTTTTTTCATCTCTTCCTCTGCTTGTTTAATTTCAAACATAATTTCCTGATTTGACTGATCTAAGATTTTCACTTTCAATTTTTGGCATTCTTGATTCAATGGTTGACCACCCAATCTACTTACAGCCTACAGATAAATATTTCAATAGACGATAAAACATTAATTTGTTTCAATAAGTTCTTGTGCACAATCAATGAGTTTCCAATACATTCTTTTTGTACAACTACATTTCCAGAGTACCTGCTATATCCCTGTTGCTTTAGTTTTTATTTTTTCAATGTTTTGTAGTGCTATTTTTGTTTTCTCTGTCTGTGTAGGAGTAGGTCATGAATCCTATTCACCGACTGCATTATAAGGATAACTGAAATCATTAACAATACAGGACAGTACAACACACACACACACACATCAAACATCAAAAACTGACTCCTCCGAAATAACAGCTATACTAAGACTGGTGATTTTTCTAACGAAAATTTGCATACAAGTTTTTTTTCACGTAGTCAATTCAAATATGTTATAAAAAATATACCTCTATGTGCTTTATTTCGAGATAAATTGGGTAGATATTTTAGACATTTACTCAAAAATTATTGTTTCAAAATATAAGCACATACAGAATTTTGCAAACAAATTTGCAATATCTTCGTACAAAATCTTTGGAAATAATTAATTTTATGATTTTAGAAAATACCAATATTTTTTGCCGTATATTTATCTAAGTTACAAAAAAATCATCGGTGTTTCTTGATAAAGATTGGAACAAATAGTCTTCGTAAATAATCAAGTCAAACGTCATTTAAAAAGAGGGGTTCAAGTACTTGTTTTCTAGCTAATGATTAAAATCACTCGAAAAAAGGCATATTTTCTCGATTTGTCGCAGTTAAACGTCGCGAAAAATACTAATAAACATTTACCTGTCTAATATTAATTTATGTGTTTTAATTATTACAATAAAGATTATAAAACAAATAGTTCTGTCTTTACCGACTTTTTATTTAGGTTACCTGAAAAAAAAAATAGAGCCAGTTGTCACTGATCTATTAATAAATTCTTTTCTAACAAAAATCCTTCTGCTTAGGTTAAAACAAATGTTCAACAATACAGAGTTTATTACCTTGAAGAGAAATTATGATCTGTGAATAGCACAAAATCTATAGCATACCAGAGACTAAGTGTACAAGATTGACTCATTAACTAAAATAGGACACAGTAAGAAACTTCGATCTCCATGACCATGACCGCCTGACGAGATGTAAGGACAGAGAGATACCATTGTGGTTACGCCGAATGAGACACAATCTGTTCTATGACACAAGTTTTGTGCATGCAGACGAGAGTACACATGAAGACCCACTTACAGATCTTGACAAAACCCTTCTTTACTGCAGTGGACAGCTTCTACAGAACCTTGATTTGGTAAGTGATGTTTTTCTGAATGATGAATTCCAGCAGCTTTTTATTGACAAGGGGGATCCGAACGATGTGGCATCACAGGGGCTATTAGCCTCGTCTACTAATGATGATTTTCTCATTTCAGAAGTTGCCGATCATAGTCTAGATGTTCAGGGGAACAGGTCCCCGACGACCCGTCATGAGTATCCATGTACTAGGAGAGGGCAAACAATTAAGCCCCCGGCTCGGTACACTGATTTCCAGTAGTTTTGTAAAACGTAGCTACGTAGTGTTCATATTGTATATAGTATATGATTGTATATACTTACGTTATCTTTTGTCTCTTGCAGTTTCCTTGAATATGGAGGATGACATTCTTTCATTAAATGCTCATGGAGAGTCAATTGGTGATGACAGTTCTTCTAAAGCAAGAGAGCTTTCTGATATGATGGTCATTGATGAAGTTGGGTATGAAGACACAACCGACAAACCATCTGATAACCGTGAAGTGCATGACGTAGACGTCTACCAACAATTTGATCACCAACAGAGATCTGCAGGGGCCCCAGGTCCCGCACCGTATACTGTTACTGCATCCAGTTCAGAAGAAATTAAAAGTAATTCCATAACCACATTTAGGAGTCGATCACATCAATGTGTTGTATGTGGTTTAGTGACACATGAAAAGATGAGACGCCATGTCTTAAAGAAACATTTGCCATGGTATTGGAAACCACACATGGCCTGTTGGAGCTGTGAAGTTCAAGAGGCCCAAACCGGTTCTTGGGCGGACCGACATACAATGGAACATGGGGTAAATACCGTATTTGACAAAGACCATATGCATCTTTGGTGCCAGCTTATGTTGGGTTCACTTCATCAAATTAGGGCATGGTTAGAATGTTCCACTCTTGACGATCTCTTGGATTACATTTTACAGAGAGAACTTTACACTTTCGTGAAAAAACAATTTTCACCTTTTAGAACTTAAATTTTTGACCTTTTGGGCCGATAATTACTGTCCTTAATCAGTGCCGACTTACTTATATTTGCAATCCACCAAATCATCCCATCGGTATTTTCAACTAGGAACTGATAGCAGTTCTCCTATCCCGAGTTGGGGCAGTGAAACAGCAAAGATTTTTACTACAGAAACAATGCTTGACAAATGAAGGTCCTAACATAACCGAGTCAATTTCAGTGTCTGATGAACATCTTGTGTTCGTGGATAGCCATTTTCATCTAGATCAGATACTCAGAAGGATGAAACTTTCAACATTGACAATCAGTAGTGGAACCTGGCTGCTCTCAATGTTTCTATTATGGAGTGGCAAATTACGTTTTTCCATCAAGATGGAACAACTGGGCTTCGGACGTGGGCTTTGCCCGTGGTGTTTATGTCTCTTTGCGTATACATCCACATCTTGCTGCAGAAGGTATATCCAAGAGGCAGATGGATCAACTGGACTCCCTGACAGATAACCATTTATGTGTTGCCATTGGTGAAGTTGGACTTGATTACATTGCAACCTGCATTTGTAATCAATGTCGTAATCCTAGCAGGTGTAAAGAAGAGGCACGTCGTTATCAGGAGGAGGACTCTATACATATGCTGCTCTTAGCCAGGAGGAAAAGTTTTCCTGTTATAATTCATTGCAGAGATTTCGGTGACGGTTCGGCCGCCAAACGGACGTTGGAAATAATAATCCACCATGACCTCGCTGACATGAAATTTTACCGCCACTGCTTTGAAGGAACTATTGAGGAGCTGACTGCTTAGTAACAACAGCCAAGTATAATTTTCAGTGTATCTGGGAAGTTCATTTGGGATAATACCGTTTTAGAAGTAATTCCTAGGATTCCACCACACCAGCTTGTGCTTGAAACTGATTCACCTTTCTTATCCCCGTTTGCATGCTGTCCAGTAAACCACCCATGGAATCTACCAGTGATTGCCACTGAAGTGAGTCGCTTGAGGAACAAACCGTTGTCTGTGCTGATGTGGACCCGTAAATGACAATGCTTTGAAGTTCTTTCAGATGCCAAAAACAAAGAGAATCTTGTAAGACTGGTTGGGAAACTAGTTTCGAACAGTAACTATGTTTAATATTGCGTTGGATTATGTTACCAGAGGAATGGACATAATTATTCTATGAACCGTTTATTTTTCGTGTTTTATGATCTATGAGACATTAATTGTGTTATATTTATTAAACTTTTATAATGAGGATATTAGCATGAAATTTTATGCAACTTTGTTTGTATATATGAGACATCGTTCATTTCAATATCGATATATGGATAACAATTTCACAGACGATGTGTGTTTTTTCTAGTCGTTTGATTTAACCCTGGCCTGGTTCTACTGAAATGGGTCGAGTGTGGTGCTGAACACCAATGTATACTACTGAACCAGTCCTTGTTGTATATGTACCTCATCATGTACCGACGACGTAGTGCGCATAATGATACATTCTGACTTTTCACCTTTAACCGCATGTATGGATTGTATATTAATTGCATTGATCGTTTATTATTACTGTACTTTGTGTATAATTGCTGTATCACCTGAATTAACCCTGGTGAGTTATCATATATTGTTAATATATTATCATTTCATGCTCGGATCCCACGACACAAGTACAAATAGTTTAAATATATTTTATTGTTCAAATTGAAAAATTAATCAGACAGATGTGTTACAACTTAGTAACATCTTCTATTAAAACTTCTGCAATTACAAATGCAGTGATTCATTACATACAGTGATGTCACATTAGAGGACAGTATTGTGATTACAACAATTGAAACATATCTGTGAAAAGTAAATTAAAAAAAATACCGAACGGAAATTCCCTTATGAAATGGCAAAATCAAAAGCTCAAACACATAAAAGGTACCAGTAGTAAACCGCTGTTCATAAATCGATTAAGAGAAAACAAATCCGGGTTACAAACTAACACAAATATAAAACAAATGTCATATTCAAGAATTGGTACAGACATTTCCGTATGTAGAAAATGGTGGATTAAACCTGGTTTTATAGCTAGCTTAACCTCTCATTTGTATGACAGTCGCATATAATTCCATTATATTGACAACAATGTGTGAACATAACAACAGACAGCATAGGTAAAAATGTCAAAAATAGAGGTACATCAGTTAACATTGTTTTATAATCTTAATCACTATAAAAAAAATATGTCAACAAAGAAAAACAAAATGGAATATAGACAAAGCACATATGCAAAAATGAAAGACAGGAATACAAAAAATTACCATAGCACAATAACACAATGGCAGGGTGTATAAATAACAAGCCTCGCCAAAAAGATATAACCAAAAATGAACTATAAGTAAAGGTTAATAATTTACAAAGAAAAATAAAACAACACTATAACACGTAATTAAGATGATAAACAATTTCAGTACCTAAAATCTATACTTCAAGACCATCATTTATTATTTGTGATGTTGATATTGAATATTTATCAACAAGGTTTTGGTATCTTCCCATAAACTTTTTTAGAAAAAGGATGAGACATTCTTTGACATTACCCTGGTTCATCAAACAGCTCAGACACTGTTGACGTTTTATAAAGTCCGAGTAGCAGCTGCAAGCTCTTGAATATCTAATGATTTGGGTAATGTGATCATCTGTGATACATATATTCTATAATGGTCGCCTTACTCAGTTTAACGTTTATCTGTGATTTGAAACAGATGCTGAAAAATTTTTGCATTTTCATAAAGAGACAGAGGCCTTGGACCATCTCATAACCTGCCTTTTGCTATGTATAACAAAAATACACTCACATTTGATATATCACTCCAAGCTGTATTGAAATAAGCACTGTCTATTGCATTACTACCATGATGAGCTAGTTTGTTTCTGTACCATTCAATCCTGGTTAGATCAGGTCCTGGTGTTGTTTCACTTGGTAGTGGAAGACTGTCAAATCCATTGATAGGAGGAATAACATATGTCAAGTTTCTGATCAAACAGATCATCAGTGAAACATCAAAACATTTGGAATCAGGTGCACCTGTAACATTAAAAGTTATGTAATCAGGCGCATCTATAACAGAAAAAGTTAATGAATCAGGTACACCTATAACATCAACAGTTGTGGACTCAGGAACACCTGTGCAACAAAAAGTTCGGAATCGGATACACATATAACTATAAAAGTATTAAAGTTAGATTCACCTGAAACATCAAAAGTATTGTAATCAGGTTGTCACCTTTTACCCTGTTACATCAAAAGTCGTTGATTCAGATACACCTGTAACATAAGGTATAAGAATCTAGTTCACTTGTGACATTAAAAGTATTATAATCATGATAATCAGGTACTTTAATAGCAAACGTATTTCAAGCAGAAACATTTGTAAAAGAGGGGCGAAAGATACCAGAGGGACATTCAAACTCATAGATCGAAAACAAACTGACAACGCCATGGATAAAAACGAAAAAGACAAACAGACAAATAATAGTACACAAGACACAACATAGAAAACTAAAGACTAAGCAACATCATTCTAATGTTGAGGAATAAGGTAAACCTGTTTTAGAATCAGGTTCACTTGTGACATAAAAGTTTTAGAATCAGGTTCAATTGTGACATAAAAGTTTTAGAATCGGGTACACTTGTGACATAAAAGTTTTAGAATCGGGTACACTTGTGACATAAAAGTTTTAGAATCAGGTATACTTATGACATTAAAAGTTGTTGAATAGATAACCCCTATGATATCAAGAATTTTAGAATCAGATCCACCTGAAATGACTTGATTACAACTTTATTTGATCACTCAGACACATTACATACGTGTAACAAGAGGAATACAATATTTACATATATACAAACAATACAAACGCTACGGAACTGAGTGCAATTATTACATAAAAAGTTGAGGAATTGTATCATGGGAAGTTGTGAAATCAGGTACATCTATATTATCTAAGGTGTTATACTAAGCAACATCTAGAATATCAAAAGTAGTAAAATATGGTACACCTGTTCCTTTTTAGCCATGGTGGCCATGTTTGTTGACTGACAGGAATAAAATACACAAACTGTACACTGGATACTTAAGGATAATAAAATTCAAGTATGGATGAGATTTGTATTTTGTAGTTTTCGAGGAGTAGATTAACTGTTTTGATCAGTGTAAGAAATTTCAAAAGCAGTTTCAGTAGGAACAATAATATCATGCATGTAGCCTCCCATCCACTCTCCCCAATTAAGATTATAGCATATGATTTTATATAGGTTTAATGATAATGGAATAAAAATGGTTTGCAGGTATATCAAATGGTCTTTTTTTTTCATTTCAAGCTGTACTCCAGCGTCATTGTTTACTAAATCCAATGTTTGATAAACTGCATTCAAACCAAGCTCGGAAATGTTTAGTTTTGCATTCTTTCCTATGTTATTTGTTCACAAAACCAATACCATGTAGGGCCGTATGTCGCACTCTGCTTTTTCATACTTTTTGTGCATTACTTCCTATATTACTTGTTCACGATGAGTGGAAAGTTTAGTACTCTTAATACTAGCTTTAATATATTACATGTTAATGTCCCTGTCCTATGTTTGAAACATCTCTAGTGATATGTCTGTGATTATAGCTTGATTATTTTTTCCTTTATTTTTGATGACAGATATCAATTGTTTGATTGTCTTTAATAAATCTAATTACATCTCATTTGATATAAACATTCTTGGCTTTCAAATATTCAGCTTTGAGCTTTCCTGGTGAAGGTAAATCCAGAAAAGAGTTTCGGACGCATGTATTTTATAACATGTTGTTTTCATTTTTTCTGTCATGTTATACTCAGGGTGATTTAGAGATAAAAAAAAACATGATGGAGACAATTTGTCTTTAGTAACAATTGAATGATGAACCTGATAAAACTGATGGTTTTGTTGTTATGGGTTGCTGTTGTTATGAATCACATTATATATCTCCCTGATCTGTAATTTTACGACACATACCATTTCTTGGAAATAAAATATTCCACTGAGCGTCGTTTATCACTCTGGTTTTTGTCAGGCCATCAAGGGTGTTGTAGTTTGTTTTCAGTGTCGAGGGTAGATGAGTCGGTGGATATTCTCTATCAAAATAAGTACGAACTGCTCTTGGTGACACTCCTTTCAATAACAAAGCTAATCGGATATAATTATCTTCTTCTTCAGACAGGGGTGCCATCTTTTATAAAATGGTCTCTATTGTACAATAGAAAACTATACCATTATTACTTTGTGACTGATGCCTTCCTGAAAAACAAATATTTATAATAAAAGAACAAAACCAAACATCACCTTCTTTTCATCTTAATATATAAAAACATTTGCCTTGACCATGCTGAAACACATGCACACCTAATTTGCAATACATTTTCAAGTGGTAGGCAACAGTAATATCATGCATGATAAATAGCCTTCATAGCATTCAAAACGTCCCAATCGGACATAACTTTTCATATACATTTACAGAAAAGTATAGGGTTTGTGACCTTGCCAATGACCTTGCAGACAGACATTCAAGGTTTGTTCATGCAACACACCCTGGTCAACCACAATTCTAAGTATATTTGATACCCCTGGAGGCATTCAAAATTTCTGACAGTGACATTTGATACCCCTCAAGGCATTACATGCACAAAGAAAACGACAGATAAAGGCAACAGTAGTATGCCGCTGTTCGAAACTCATAAATCGATAGAGATAAAAACAAATGCGGGTTACAAACTAAAACTGAGGGAAACGCATCAAATATAAGAGGAGAACAACGACACAACAAAAACACAACATTAAAATGTAACACACACAGAAACGAACTATAATATAACAATGGCCATTTTCCTGACTTGGTACAGGACATTTTAAGAAAAAAATGGTGGGTTGAACCTGGTTTTGTGGCATGCCAAACCTCCCGCTTTTATGGCAACGTCAAACACAACACCACAACGACAACATCACATGACAGGACCACAATACAAATAAATGGGAGAACATATAGGACAAAAAAACACACGAATAATAGCTTACAAAAGGTACTAGGCTTAAAATTCAATACGCCAGACGTGCGTCTCGTCCACACAAGACCAACCAGTGACGCTCAGATGAAAAAAGTTTGAAAGCCAAAACAAGTACAAAGCCGAAGAGCACCGAGGACCAAAACTTCCAAAAAGTTGCGCCTAACACGGCCAGGGTTTTCTGCCTGGGACAAGAACATCCTTATTATTTAGAATAATTTATAATTTTGCAAACAGTAAATTTTATAAAATGACTATATAATAGATATACATGATAAAACCGAAGTGGGGACTAACTACAGAATAAAAACGGATACATTACATAAAACAACTTAATCCAACACATAAAAATACACAGCCGAGTTAGCCAAAGCCTCAACGCACAATGTGACGTCACATTTGAAATTCTAACAGAAATATGGACAGACTGGCGTTTGTACAGTTAGCCAGACAGGTAAAAAGTTGATGGGAAGACACACACACACAGATTATATACCACTCCTTCAAATTCAAGCCTTGTTTATTGGGGAATATACCGTATAGCGGGTTATTTTCCCGGTGTGTTTATCTTCGCTTATTTTGGCGGGTAAGGGGAAATCTCGAAATTAAATTCCACGAAAATATATGCATACGTTCGGTACTTTCCAATAACTAAAGCGTTTTGTAAAATATATTTTGCTCGTTCGTCGGATCAATAATGGTTTATGTTAATTTAAACAACATAAATGCAAAAGGTCATTGTTCACTGGCGATCAGGTGTTAATTAGTTAATTAGTTACATAATACAATAATTAATAATATAAGCGTGTAAGGTACTTTGTCAGGTATTTTATCCTTATTGATTAGTGTCAAATTATATAAGAGTTGCAAGTCACTCATGATGATTTTATAATCTAATTAGTACATCAAAGGTCCGGTCAATTTCGTAACTAACCAACCGTTACATTTACAAGAAGTGTGTACACCTTTGACAAATATCTTAGTACCGGTATTATATTTGATTAACTGTATCAAAATATAATCAATAAATAAGACTTCATGCACGTAAAACAATCATTTAACCATAACAATAAACGCTTGTTTGTCAAATTTTACAAATTTTTAACTGCAACCATTTTAGTATCCGCTGAAATATTTAATTTGGATTAAAGAATCCGCCAAAATAAAAACCGCCAAAACTTTTCGTATACTTTGTTGCCCCTATATCGCGAAATTTTACACCCGCGAAAATAACCCGCTATACGGTAACTAGCTACCAGTAACATGTTGTTGTCATAAATACAATATAAAACTTCAGGAAAGTTTCAAAGGAAAATGATATGAAGATTGTATGACTAAATTCCAGGGATTATGATGATGATGGATGCCTACTTAATGTCCAGCGGCAAATTTATATGTAGATTCAGGACGAGAATATGTTATTGTAATATGAATATTGACCTTGCTTTGCACTAGACCGACACGCTGAACCGGATTTGTGACGTGCTAGTAATAGTACGCAGGAAGACATATCACCTTACCCGGACACAATATTCTGATTCCGAGCCGGCCAGTTTTTGCACTTCCTCTTAATGCCGTGTGCTTAGCGGCGAAGCAGCAAAAACCAATTCTAAAGTTTTTGGTTTGACCTGGCAGGGGTCCAAACCAACTACCTTCCATACTCGAGGCGAACACGTCAATTCCAGGGAAAATACATAACTAAGTATTAAAGATAATGTTTTGTTTTATAATAATCTGTATAATATATATATTTATTTATCATATACTTAGAGTAAATAACTTATTATTTCACTGTATGATAATAGCATGAAATTTACGTGAATTCCATATATTCTGAAATGGTGTTTAGCGGGCTGATATGAAAAATTTATCACATGCGTCCGGCTATTATCACATGCCTTTCCGTAACGTTATCGCATGGTATTCAGGCGTTACTCGGCACATTCCGGGGAAAAATACACCTCAATGATATGTTTTCAGTTAAAAACATTACAAAGTAGGGTACAAAACAATTATTAGAAAACAGGAAAATATGTTATATAAAATGCAAAATGTTTACATTTCCGAAGTGTTCATTATGTTTTGTTGAATTTGTTTTAATGGTCAGTATAAAAATAAATTATACTGTTGTTTCAGTTAAATCGATTTATGACTATTGAACAGCGGTATACTACTATTGCCTTTATTTTTCTCCTCTGTTGAGGCATATGATAGAAAGATTACATATCGAATAATTACATTTAGCGTCCGACGTTCCTTAAACTTTTTAACTTTTTGAACTTCTACTTGAGAACCACTTAAAAGGATCAATATATTAAACTGTTATTTTTCTCCATTGTTGAAGCATACGATAAAAAGATCATAACATGTCATTGTTCATATCAGATGTATTATGAGCCCTCAGTCAATATCAGCACTCGAGCCTTTGGCTCTTGTGCTGATATTGAACCTTGGACTGATAATACATCTGATATGAAACATGCCATGTAATAATCTGAATGGATCGTATCTTCATACCTTTGTTGAGGGGTTTCCTCCCTACTTTCTTATCAGCACCACCATGGGTAATGGTGTTAAGGAGTACATTTAGGTTTACATAAAATAATGTCCTGTATGACATATAGTCCACACGACAGAATTTCATACAAAATTTTGTCCGCAGACAATATGTTATATTGAAATACTATGAAATACTATCCAAGACAAATCTCATCATGAATTAGTGTCCTTCTCAATCAAATGTTGTCCATTGGGTCGGGACAATATTTCACTGTGAAAAGTAAAATAACAAAAATACCGAAGTCCGAGAAAAATTCAAAACGTAATGTCCCTAATCAAATGGCAAAATCAAAAGCTCAAACACATCTAACGAATGGATAACAACTGTCATATTCCTGACTTGGTACATGCATGAAATACTATACATTACAATATTGTTTTGTGAAATACTGTCCATGACAGTATTTTCGAATCACATCTTGTCCTCCCGGACGACTCTTCCGTCGTGAAACCAAAAGACTGTTTCTTGATCTTTGAATTACTTTCCATTAAAAGTATGTGTATAACCGTGAATACAAAAATAGGAAGATGTGGTGTGATTGCCATTGAGAGAGCCCGCCACCAAAGACCAAATGACATAGAAGTTTACAACTATAGGTCACATCAAATGATAAAAAATCTGCATCAAATAATTCCTGTATGTAGTAAACTAACCTTTTTGTATTTATAACTGAAAGTACCTTGTAAGGCAAGTATCTTACTTATCAAACAAATATATATAAAGTGATATCAAATGGGCATTTAATTTAAATACATTTAACTATTTATATTTAACTTTGGTTTGTTCAATGAAATAAAACACTTTAATGCCATCATTGTCCAAACATTAATTCCTATAACCTCCCTTTAATGAGACAACATTTCATGACAATAAATTTATGACATATTGTCTCGATAAAGATAAAATGAAACAGTGGATAACTTAAGTTACAATACAAAATTTGCGGTCCAAAGATTTACCAAAAAGAACCAAAATTACCAATAATAACATAAAGTTTCTTTACTATCAAACTATAAAAATGTCAATATGTATGTAACATTCTCTTGACATTATTTCATAGACGCGGACAAAATATAATAAGTTAGTAAGTAAGTAAGTAAGTAATGACTTTATTTAAGGAGGGTGACTCAATTAGCATTCACTAATATACCTTGAGGCCCTCAATGATCCATTGGACAATATTTTACATGCTTTTCATTAGCACATTGTATCGGCACAGATTCAATAGGAGCATTTGCTAACCCAGTTCCCTGTCTGACCTTGACAGGTCTTACTACCAGAAAGTTAGCCCTCCCCAAAACAACGCAATAAAACATACGGACACACACTCGCCTGATTCGATCATCCTCAAATTACAAATAGTGAAAATATATACAAAAAAGGTGCCAAGGTTATCAAGGATGCCGTACAAATGCCACGGCAATAGACTGGAAACCGTTAAGGATAAACTTGGATTCCAAAATATTCTATTGTCAGTTAACATGGCCGCCATTTTTAATGAATACTTTTGGTCAACCTCTGTACGCGGAAGAAGGAAGAACTTAAACTTACCTTTTTATGTAAAAAATCTTGTCCTCTGTTTCATTCTGTTTACAATTTCACTGTACTCTAACCGCTACTGTTGTAAATTGTTATTGACACCGAATAAACTTTCTAAGGTTTTCAGTCACTTAAAATAAATAGTTGTAAAATAATGTCCGCATTTGAGGAACTTAACTCAACTTTTGACATCATCATCATCAAGTCGTCATCAGGTCAAATGTCATTCAAGATGAATACCAATGATAAACAGCCTAATTCAGGAGGGGAGACAACTGTAATGACTATAAAACGATACGAGAGTGTCACATATATTCGTTTATATAAACACTTCAAACGCATATTAAAAAAAAAATATTTTTTTTTGTATGTCAACAATGTTAATTTATAACTTCATTAGGATAATAGTTGATTTTATCATTTTCGCTTCATATTCTATTTTCTATGACCTATATTTGCAGTATAAACAAATCGGAACGTATAATAAAAATAACGTAAGAAGAACACGTTTTATGGAAGCCCAATAGTAAGCATAACATTGTAATTAAATGTAAGTAAATTTTTGAAAATGTTCAGTGAAACAAAAAGTCCATTGTTTGATGTGTTTGAGCTTTTGATTTTACCATTTGATTAGGGACTTTCCGATTGCCATTTGATTATGGACTTTCCGTTTTGAATTTTCCTCGTAGTTCAGTATTTTTGTGATTTTACTTTTTACATTGTTTTAGAGACAATGCACTGTCATTTATTTTAAGTGACTCGAAACACAAACAGAATTCAGTAATACATAAAATGAAAACATTATTTCTAGATTACATACTTTTTTATTAATTGTGCTTATATATATATATATATACAGTAAGGTCGAATTTTTCCTTCGGAATCATGATTTCTTTTGCACACTGTTCATATGTTCATAATTCAAAAGTTTTCCAACTGTTAATTTAGCACTTGCACCAATATAAACGTATTTTAAGTAAAATTAGCTGTAAACGATCAACCAATTAACAAATGTATGTCATTATTATTATTATTATTATTATTATTATTCCGTTTCGTTTTGTTTGCAGTTTAACCCATGACATGGACAGTAAAATTTATCTGACCTGTGAAGGACAGAGAAATCCCAGACATATTTAAGATGAGTCCAATGATCACATTCTTGAAATTTACATTTGGCACATGTGTAAATTTAAATGGAGATGCATTCCTGTACCTCCTTTGGCTGCCACTTGATGTAAACACAACACAATGTGTCATAACTATATTTATCATCTTCCTCTGTGAAGGAGTCATCAGAATTGACTATTTTATGCTGTTCTGATAGACCTGGCTGTTTTTGTGAATCTTGCTGATCTGTTTTTACATCTTACGTGTGGTTTTTGAAATCGAAGTAGATGAAGAATCATTTGGTTTAAGTATAGCAGTTAGTTTTTTCAACTTTCTGGTTAATCCTTCGTTCTGTTGATTTATTGTTGGTCTTTAACTAGGTGCTGGATTAAGACTTTTTCAACAAACCACTTTATTTCTTCACGTGTCTCTGGTTGTTTTATTGCTTTACCTGCAACCATCTTATAATTGAATGCCTTTCCTCATTGGTAGATTTTTCTTTGACAAATTTGTAGATTTTTGCATTGAAGAAAGAATGAATCGTATTTTCATTTGATTCGTCTGATTTTTTTTCTGCAACGTTAATCTCCATGGATTCATTTTCCTGGATTGGAAATATTTGTTCTGCGTTGACATTGATCATATCTTCTGAATTGGAAATTAGATCAGCTGGTTCAGTTGTTACATTTTTGATGATAGGGATTACATCATTTTTGCTATTTTCCTCTTCTTCCTGTAATTGACTCTGCTTTGAATAGTATCAGAGATAGTAGACATGGGCTGGACTAAAACATTTCTGTCTAATGGGTTAACAGCACATTTACGGAAAACAGACTACAAATGTGAAGGTCAGAGAGCAGAAGTATAGGATTTACAAGCAATAGAGCACACGTGGTATGTGTTGATTACTGTTGAATGGGTATGTTGAAATCAATGACATTCTGAAATGTAGGTGCTGGCAAATGGCCCAAACAACCAACACCCATGGCTTTTCATTAAGGTTACAAATGCTCTGTCTATTCTTTAGTATCATAATTTTCCTGATACGACTAAATAAAGGCAACAGTAGTATACCGCTGTACGAAATTCATAAATCGATTGAGAAAAAAACAAATCCGGGTTACAAACTAAAACTGAGGGAAACACATAAAATATAAGAGGAGAAGTACGACACAACAGAAACACAACATTAAAATGTAACACACACAGCAACAAACTATAATATAACAATGGCCATTTTCCTGACTTGGTACAGGACATTTTAAGAAAAAAAATGGTGGGTTAAACCTGGTTTTGTGGCTAGCCAAACCTCCCGCTTTATGGCAATGTTGAATATAACATTAAAATGACAACATTACATGACAGGACTACAATACAAATAAACGGGAGAACATATAGGACAGAGAAACATACGAATAATATCTAACAAAAGGTACTAAGCTCATCAAAGAACATGTTAATGGATGCCGTTGAAGTTGCCTTTGATCTTAGTTCTGATTTTTAGTCTGCATACCTTCAGTTCAGGCCATCTACCCATAAAGTTGCGAACCCTTCCAATTAAGAAATTATGTTGCTTATCATATTTTGTCTATATAATCATGTGAACATCTACTCAGTTCCAAGACCTACCATTTCAGCTCTGGTGTATACATAACCTACAGCACTCACTTCTTTAATGTGCTTAACTAATCTTGCCTCCAGACCTGTTCACAGCCAACACTGATGGTGGTCTAGACTTCAAGCTGTCTAAGGTGATATTGTCTAATACACGGTCTCTTAATATCTGTTCTGGAAGACACCTTTTCCAAGCAGCCTTAACCTGACTTATCTTGTTGTCAGTAACATGAGAATAAGCATTTGTCAGCTTCGTTAGAGAATATGTTCCAAATATTATATCTGCTGACATGGAATATCCTTTATCATACATATTTTCACAAAGACTTTTTTTTTACCACTATTAAATATGTGCGTATTCTGCATGTTTATCTTATTAAAATCAAAGTTTAGTAACTTACGCGATTTTATCTGTAACCAAATGCAATTGTTCCTTGAAAGATAAGGAATGCAATCATTTTCAAATTGATTTTTAATTATGATAACTTAGCATATATATAAATGTTGGGTATATACTTTAATCGAGACTTCAACCTAACGATAAAAAAATAAACACACAAATATGATTTGTAGAAAATCTAAAGAGCCCCTTGTCTTAAAAAGGTGTGTATATTCATAAAATGATAGAAAACAGTATGATATAACATGGAAATCAGATGAGTTCCTGACTGTAAACATGCATATGCAAATCTGGCAGGTATAGTTTCTGAGATGTTGTCCCTAATAAACTTACACAAAAAACCATATAAAAGGTTCAACACAGAACATACAAAAACATGTACTTTCCTTTAATAACAACATAGGCACAAAAGAAAAATAATACACCCTAAGAAATAACAAACAATAAAAAAAATGTCTGTACGACTGGCTTAACCCAAACCGATTAAGCTTATTTCAAAAAGGAGATAAACATACTGTCGAGAATTATAGACCTGTATCATTAAACCTCAGTACAATGTTAAATCTAAAAGCACATAATATGCAGGCACATAATGAAACATCAAGAAATGCACGGAGTGCTAACATCCCTAAATCTGAATATTTCAGATCTGGCTGGCTATTCATGCGAAACATAATTACTAGTCCAACACGACCTCATGAAGCATATGATGCTTGCCTCCCAACTGATATTGCTATTTTAGATTTTTCGAAAACTTTCGACAGGGTACCCCATAAGAACCTACTGTAAAAATGAGCGAATATTGAATTCGAAGACCAATATACAACTGGCTAAATATGTTCTTGGCAAACTAAAAAGTTAGATATTATTCAAAAAGTATAACTAGTCCAAAATCGTCACTTACAGATTCGGTCATATTGGTTTTTTGTAGACCTTGTATTGCTGATCATGTTTTGTCATAAACAGTTTCGCCATCTCGGAGAACACAACAGGTCTAGATTTTCAATCAAGTAAGCAAAATTCGATGCAAGAATGCAATTTACTAATGAAAATTTTCTTTTGAGTGAATAAATTTATGTGACGTTATCTTATAAATACTAATATTTTTACAACTGTAGATCAATTTTGCTTGATTTTTTTTAACGTGCCATATTAAGGGAGAGATCTCATAAATAGTATAATTTATAAGTGAATCTACAGGACATTTTACATTTTATGTTATAGCAGGAAAAACGTACGGTGACTATTTTATATTTTGATTTTCCGAAAGGATTTTATCAGCTATCTCCTCATTTGTACATCAAAATTCTATCATTGTGTTTCCCTTCTATTCTCATGATGATGATTTATGATGTGTTATAGCATTCTTTTATTTGTCTTTATGAATATTACTTTTACTGTTTAGTCTGTTTTTGGTGGTATCCGTTTGACGTGGATCTGTACTTATACATCCCGTCATTGTGTTATTGTTCTATGATAACTTTTGTATTCTTGTCTTTCATTTTTGCTAATATGCTATGCCTATATGCCTTTTTGTGTTTCTTTGATACTTATGACGTGGCTCTGTACTTATACATCCCTTCATTGTGTTATTGGTCTTTGATGATTTTTGTATTCTTGTCTTTCATTTTTGCTAATATGCTATGTCTATATGCCTTTTTGTGTTTCTTTGTTACCTATGACGTGGTTCTGTACTTATACATCCCGTCATTGTGTTATTGTGCCATGGTAAATGTTTGTTTATATACTTGTTTGTTTTTATAGTGATTGAGATAATAACACAATGTTGACTGCTGTTCCCCTATTTTTGATTTTTTTACCTATTATGTCTGATTGTTTTGTTCACACATCGTTGTCAATATAATGGAATTTTATGCGACTTTCATAAGTGAGAGGTTTAGCTAGCTATACAACCAGGTTTAATCCACCATTTTCTACATAAGAAAATGCCTGTACCAAGTCAGGAGTATGAATGACAGTTGTTGTTCATTCGTTTGATGTGTTTGAGCTTTTGATTTTGCCATTTAATTAGGGACTTTCCGAGAGATTTCAGGTTGTAGTTTATTCCAAT